GACTCATAGCGACCCCATGCACAGCAGAACAAAACAATGTCCTATCCTGGGCCAACCCCACTACTGCTGCCACACTTGACACTATCAATGATACCACCTGGCTGACCCATCTCGTTAGGGTTCTTCCTCTTTTTCTCTGACCCTCCACCTTACCCAGCATGACATCCTTCTCCAGTGACTGTTCCCTCCAGACTATATGTCCAAAGTATGAGAGATGAAGCTTAGCCATCTTGGCCTCCAAGGAGCACTCTGGCTGCATGTCTTCCAAAACAGATCTATTGGTTGTTTTGGCAGTCCATGGCACTTTCAGTATTCTCCAACACCATGACTCAAAGGCATCAATTCTTCTACGATCTTCCTTATTCACTGTCCAGCTTTTGCATCCATATGAGGTTATTGAAAATACCATGGCTTGGGGAAGGCACACCTTAGTCCTCAAGCTGACATCTCTGCTCTTCAATACTTCAAAAAGTTACTGTGCAGCAGATTTGCCCAATGCAATACGTTGTCTGATCTCTTGACTGCTGCTTCCGCAAGTGTTGATAGTTGATCCAAGCAGAATGAAGTCCTTGACAACTTCAATCTTTTCTCCGATGATAAGAATGTTGTTTTTTGATTGGTCCAGTGGTGAGGATTTTTGTTTTCTTGACATTGAGATGCAATCCATACCGAAGGCTGTGCTCTTTGATCTTCATAAGTAAATGTTTCAAGATGTTTACTTGTGCTTTATTGCAAAGGCTTTCGATTGAGTGGATCATGACAAGCTATGGACAACATTGTGAAGTTATGAGTATTTCAGGTCACTTAATTGTGCTCATGAAGAATCTGTACCTGGACCATGAGGCAGTTGTTCGAACAGAACATGGGAACACTGAATGGCTTAAAATTAAAAAAGGTGTGTGACAAGGTTGTATTCCTTCACCATACTTATTCAACCTGTATGCTAAGTAAATAATCTGAGAAGCTGGGTTATATGAAGAAAAATGTGATATCAGGATTGGAGGAAGACTCATTAACAACCTGAGATATGCAGATGATACGACCTTACTTGCTGAAAGTGAAGAGGACTTCATTTTACTGATGATCAAAGAGCACAGCCTTCGGTATGGATTACATCTCAATGTAAAGAAAACAAAAATGCTCACCACTGGACCAATAAACAACATTCTTATCAACGGAGGAAAGACTGAAGTTGTCAAGGACTTCATTCTTCTTGGATCAACTATCAACACTCATGGAAGCAGCAGTCAAGAAATCAAACGACGTATTGCATTAGGCAAATCTGCTGCACAAGACCTTTTTAAAGTGTTGAAGAGCGAAGATGTCAGCTTGAGGACTAAGGTGTGCCTGACCCAAGCCATGGTATTTTCAATAATCTCATATGCATGCGAAAGCTGGACAGTGAATAAAGAAGACCATAGAAGAATTGATACTTTTGAGTTATGGTGTTGGCAGAGAATATTTAAAGTGCCATGGGCTGCCAAAAGAACCAATACATCCGTTTTGGAAGGAGTGCAGCCAGAGTGCTCCTTGGAGGCCAAAATGCCCAAACTTCATCTCTCATACTTCAGACATACTGTCAGGAGGGACCATTCGCTGGAGAAGCATATCATATTTGGTAAGGTGGAGGGTCAGAGAAAAAGAGGAAGACCCCCCAACGAGATGGATTGGCCAAGTGACAGCATCGATGGCCTCAAGCGTGGCACAGTAGTGAGGTTGGCCCAGGATCGGGCAGTGTTTCGTTCTGCTGTGCATACAAGGTCGCTATGGGTCGGTACCGACTTGATGGCACCTAACAACAACAATAATATGCCCTTCTCCAGGGACTGGTCCCTCCTGATAGCATGTGTATAGTGTAAGAGACAAAGTCTCATCCTCCTTGCTTATAAGAGGCATTCTGGCTGTGTTTCTTCCAAGACAGATTTGTTCACCAGGCAATACATGGTGCTTTCAATGTTCTTCACCAACACCATAATTCAAATGCATGTTTTCCTCCTGTCTTACTTATTTCTTGCCCAACTTACACATGCATGTAAGGCAAATGAAAATACCATGGATTGGGTCAGGCACACCTTAGAACTCAAAACTGGTAACTTTGCTCTTAAGCACTTTAAAAAAAGTCTTGAGTACAGATTTTCCTAATGTAATGTGCCATTTGATATCTTGATTGCATTTTCCATGAGTGGTGACTGTCTGGATTGACAACTTCAATCTCTTCTGCTTATTGTGATGTTATTGGTCCAGTGGTGAGGATTTCTGTTTTCTTTACACTTTAAACTTCAGCAGTACACAAGTCCCTACACTGCCAACAGGAAAGGATGTATAATTTGCCTATCACAGGTTGTTAACGAGACTTCCTCTAATCCTGAAGCAATATTCTTCTTCATATAGTCCAACTTTTCAAATTATTTGCTCAGCATACAGATTGAATTAATAATGGTGAAAGGATACAACCCTGGCACACAACTTCCCCAAATTTAAAGCATTCAGTATACCTTTGTTCTGTTGCAACAACTTTCTTAGTCTATGTACAGGTTCCTCATGAACACAATTAAATATTCTGGAATACTCATTCTTCACAACGTGGCTCATAGTTTATGATCCACACTGTCAAATGGCTGCATACTCCCTAAGGCATAAGTAAACATCATTCTGGTATTTTCTTTTAGCCAAGATCCATCTGACATCAGCAATGATATCCCTCATTCCAGCTTGTTCTTCTGGCGGCTCCCTGACAATACACAGCTACAACTGTTTTGGAATTAGCTTAAGCAAAATTTTACTTGCATGTGATATTAATTTGATGATTTGCGTTCTGGTGGGTCACCTTTCTTTGGAATGGATACAAATACGGATCTCTTCCAGTTGGCTGGCCAAGTAGCTGTCTTCCAAATTTCTACACACATGAGTGCCTTCATTGCTGCATCAGCTTGTTGAAACATTTCAATTTGTATACTGACAATTCCTGGAGCCTTGTTTTTTGCCAATGCCTTCAGTGTAGCTTGGACTTCTTCCTTCATTACCACTCATTCTTGATATGTTTTCTCTTGAAATGGTTGAACATCAACCATTTCTTTTTGATCGTTTCTCTTGTGTATACCTTCCACCATCTTTTGGTGTTTTCTTCATCACTCACTATTTTGCCCAAAAAATCCTTCAATATTGCAACCCGAAGCTTGAATTTTTTTCTCCAGTTCTTACAGCTTGAGAAATGTTGAGTGTGCTCTTCCCTTTTGGCTTTCTAACTCCATGTCTTTAAACATTTCCTTATAGTACTTGCCTTTTTCTTCTCTGTCCTTTGAAATTTTCTGGTCAGCTCTTTTACTTAATTTCTTCCAGTCACTTTAGCTTCTCTGTTAAAGAGATTTTCATAGTCTCTTCTGACATCCATTTTTGTCTTTTCTCTCTCCTGTCTTTTCAGTGACCTTTTGCTTTCTTCCTAAAATATATTCTTGATGTCATCCCACAAGTCCTCTGGTCTTCAGTCATTAGTCTAATGCATAAAATGTGTTCTTGAGATGGTCTCTAATTTCAGGTAGGATATACTCAGTATCACATTTTGGCCATCATGAACTTGTTTTGATTTTCTTCAGTTTCAGACTTAACTAGCATATGAACAATTGATATTCCCTTCCACAGTTGGTCACTAACTGTTTTGGCTGGTGATGTTATCTGGCTTTTCCCGAATATGTAGCTGATTTGACTCTTGTGTATTCCATCAGGTTAGGTGTGTGTATAGTTCTCGTTGTTGTTGAAAAAGGTATTTGTAATGAATAAATCTATCATTATAATAATGAACAAAATTCTATCAAGCAATCTCTAGCATTGTTTCTATCAAGGCCATACACACACACACACACACACACACACACACACACACACACAGATTTATTTCAAGGAAATATTTCACACAATTGTGAGGTCTGACAAGTCCCAGATCCGAGGGTCAGATGATAGGCTGACAATTGCTGCTTGTTCACATAGATGCAGGGGCTCACAAATCCCCTGGAGATAGGTTGGAGGCACCTGCTGACTTGTCAAAGGAACAGGGACTCTATCAGATGACACTATCAGATAGAAAGTGAGCATTGTGAGATATTTGTTTATGTCACGGATGCAGGCCACACCAGAAGGAAACCCCTATTCAAAGTGATAAACTGCTCACATCAGATCACAAAATGGGAAGGGATACATTACACCTGCCAAACCACAGAGAATTATAACCCAGTTAAGTTAATTCCTAACATTAACCACCACAGCTCTATATTCTAGAGAAAAATTCTGGTGACCAAACCTAGATGGCTCTGAGAATATCTTTAGCTTAAGTTATGCAAACCTCAGTTGCCTAACCCAAGGGAAGGTCAAAAGTATGTATTACTTTTTTCTTCCCTAATTCCATAACAGATGGAAGAGTTTACCATTCCAGTAAGAGGAAGTTGATCTCAAAAGTGCTACAGTGCCCAAGACCTGGGTAGAACTGATACAGATTTCTTTTCTCATTCTACTCGTCTACTCATCAAGAAAAGAGCTCCATTCCTAGGCTAGTATGTGGATACGTGTATCATAGGGATGATAGCCAAATCTTGTCTCAGTGTCAGGAAAGAGGAGAAACAGCTGCTGGACTTTGCCCCAGTAGGAGCAAATCTTGGCTACCATACCACTCAGGCTAGCAACCTTGTGAAGAGAATTCACATATCTGAAAGTTCCACTTCCTGACCTACACGTTTAATAGTTCTAGAATTTGATCAATTTATATTTGCAGTGGGACTCAATGTAATCTGATATTGAGTATAACCAAGATTCAACAAACTTTAGCATTGTGAAATCTTTAAAATACAGGATTAATTAGAAATTTCTGTGTTTAAGTACTGTTAAGTACAAAACTGTAACAGAGTAGATTCTCACCAATATGTGAGAAACTACAGTAGGGTAACACTTATATGATGTTCAGTATATAGCACTGACAGACTTGATAAAGAAAAACGTACAAAATACTCATTACAAAAACCTCTTTGAGTCCTTTATTGAATTTGGAGATGTGTGGTCCATACAACTAACAGTATGACACCAGCTATAGAAGTACAGTTATCCAGAGGGTTCTTCAGAACCAGGATCTCAGAGCAACTCAGAGTACTGCCTGCTCTGAACGTCAACACCCAGCTTAGACAAACACAGGACAGACAATCTCACAGTTTTCACTCTGAAATGGTTCTTTTAAAAAAATGACAAGAATTAATAGTTCAAACCCTTTAGAATGTGAGACATGGCAGCTTTTGGTGTTGGGGTGAAAGGCCAGACAGAATAAGAATTGACCAGGGTGAGGGTAACAGGTTTTATTTTCAGTGTAGAGATACCAGATGGTCCACGTGGATACTCTCAGTCCAGGCTCACTGTGAGTCCTGCAGGAATCCACTAGATAAATATAGTTTATAAAACAGAGGCTGAAAAATGCAAGCCAGCCATTTGTGTCATTGATTCCACCTGGCAGACACTGACCTATCAGGAGTCATTAATGATCACATAGCAAATTTAAAAGGGAAACACCTGAAAGCAAGAAAGAAGTTCATGGTGCCAGGCCATCTCTGATTCTTTCTGTCACTGGGTGTCATGGGTCCCTCTGCTTTCACATGTGAATTAAGGAAGATATCCTTTATTTCAATATTCCACTGTGGAAAGAACCAAAACCCTCCCCCAACCCTACCATCATTCTTCATAAATTCTGCTTCCAAAGTTCTGATTCTTCTGGGTCTAGATTTTTTCCTTTCGCTTCAATTTTGACACTTTCTTAACTGTCCCATTCTTATTTAGCAGCTTCAGAACACGGTCTTTGTGATCTAACACTTTAAGCATGGAGTCTCTGGCCTCACTGATTTGATCCATCACCAATTTACACCTCTGCATATTTCCCTGAAACAAAGACAGGACATTATCTATCAATAATGAGAACAACATGGTATTTAAAGCATTTCTCACGAATTGAATAGATGACATTTTTGGATTTTCATATGAAAAAAAGTCTTAATGCTTCCTGGTAATGTAAGCTAAAGTAAGTAATGACTTTTACAAAAGATGTGCACAGACTGAGGACAGAGTAAGACTTTACAGTAACCACAGAGAGGGATACAGAGTAGTTACAGGGGTCACACGAACCTGTATTAGCTCATTTATTCGGTGCAAGTCATCATCAGTTGCTGCTTTTTTCTTTGGGATAATCCCTTCCTGTAAGTTGGTTAGTCTTTCATAAACATCATGCTCTAGATTTGTCTGCAACACATAAAAGACATTGTGATCTCAGAGAGTATCTTCTCTTCAACTCAGGCAAATTGCACTTCTTAAATGAAACCATCAAGAATTAGCTTTGTAAACTGGTACAAGAGTTGTTTAGATGACAAAGATTTTCTTCAAGAGGCAAAGGAAACAGATCAACACTGACTTAAATCATAATTTGTTAAATTTAAGTGTATACTTTAAGGATAATGTTTAAATATTGTCCTCAATTCACAAGTTCTTTAAAAAAAAACACATTGATAACTTTCACAGAAATTTGTTTTGCTGCTAAGTATAAAAACCAACCAAAGGACTACATTTTTTAGATACTCATAACAAAGTTTTTCAGAGCAATGCTACGCCAAAAGACAGGCTAACTTTGAGGTTATTTTGCATATTTTGATCCTGGGTATGAATACATTCAAATTTTAAGTATTTAGCACACAAAATTTCTAAGACTCCTGTTATGATAAATTTTCAAAAATTACTCAAAAGAAAATGTTTTGTAAGCTCAGATGTCTCCAACCACTTTTCTTCCCTTCAGTACTATGTCTCAATTGCTAGAACTTTACTTACCAACTGTAGTAACTGGGCAGCACAGAGGTGGACTTTCCAGCCTTGAGCACGACAAGATACTCCTTTTTGATTAGCTATTTCTTGTAGCATAGCTTTTTTCTCCTCTGGAACCACATAAAAATATTTAAAAGTTACCAAACTGGAGCTTAAAAATCAAACCCAATGCCATTAAGTCGATTCCAACTTATAGGAGTTCTAAAGCTTTAAATCTTTACAGGAGTAGGCTATCTTATATTTCTCCTGAGCAGCAGCTAGTGGGTTTGAACTGCCAACTTTACAGTTAGCAGCCCAATGCTTAAACCAGTGTCAGCAGTGGAGGAAGACTCATTCATAACCTGCAGTATACAGACAAGACATTGCTTGCTGAAAGTGAAGAGAACTTGAAGCACTTACTAATAAAGATCAAATGTAGTCTTCAGTATGGATTGATGTGGTTAAGTGCCATTGACTAGGTTTTGACTCAGGGACCCTGTATATGGTTCCCATCCTTGCAGGAGCAGAAAGTTTCATCTTTCTCCTACGGAGTGGTGGTGGGCTTGAACCATTGACCTTATAGTTTACAGTCCAGTGCTTATCCTACACAGCCACCATGCTCCCCTCAGAATGTGGACTATACCTCAGCTCATCTAAGTATGAATTCTTCTTGTTATTAGGTACCATCGAGTCAGTATTGATTCATAGTGACCCTAAGCACAACAGAACGAAAAACTACCCAGTACTGTATCAACCTCACAATCATTGCTATCTTTGAGCCCATTGCTGCAGCCACTGTCAATCCATCTAGTTAGGGGTTTTTCTCTTTTACTTCGACCATCTGCTTTACCAAACATATCTTTTTCTAGTGACTGGTCCCTCCAGACAATATGTCGAAGAAAGAGACGAAGTCTGGCCATCCTGGCTTCCAAGGAACATTCTGGCTGTACTTCTTTCACACAAATTGGTTTGTTCTTTTGGTACTTTTAATGTTCTCCTCCAGTACCATAACTCAAATGCATCAATTCTTCTATAATCTTCCTTATTTACTGTACAACTCTCACATGCATGAGGTTGTTGAAAATACCATGGCTTGAGTCAGGTGTTACCTTAGGCCTCAAACTTTGCTCTTGAACACTTTAAAGAGGTCTTGTACAGCAGATTTGCTTAATACAAAACGTTGTTTAACTTCTTGACTGCTGCTTCCATGAGTGTTGATAGTAGATTTAAGTAAAATGAAGTCTTTGACAACTTCCAATCTTTTCTCCATTTATATGGATGTTGTTTATTGGTCCAATGGTGAGGATCTCTGTTTTCTTTAGCTTGAGGTATTCAACCCATACCAAAGGCTGTGGTCTTTGATCTTCATCAGTATTTTAAGTCCTTTTCACTTTCAGCCAAAAGGTTGTATCATCAGTATATTGCAGGTTGTTAATGAGCCTTCCTCCAATCCTGGTGCCATGTCTTTTTCTTCATATGATCCAGCTTTGTGGATTATGTGCTCAGCATACAGATTAAATATATATGGTGAAAGAATACAATCCTGTCACATACCTTTGCTAATTTTAAACCACTCAATATTCCCTTGTTCTATGTACAGGCTCCTCATGAGCACAATTAAGTGTTCTGGAATACTAAATCTCTGCAATGTTGCTCATATCTTGTCATGATGCACACAGTCGAAAGTCTTTTTGCATAGTCAATAAAGCACATCTTTCTGGTGTTCTCTGCTTTCAGCCAAGAGCCATCTGACATCAGCAATGATATCCCTTGTTCCAAATCTTTGTCTGAATCTGGCTTGAGCCTCTAGCAGTTCTTTGTCAACGTACATTTGCAGCCATTTTAGTAAAATTTTACATATGAATTACAATGCAATATACATATTAAAAAAAATCCTCACAATTGACCAATAAAAAACATCACGATGAACAGAAAAAAGACTGATGTTGTCAAGGATTTCATTTTATTTGGATCCACAATCAACACTCATGGAAGCTGCAGTTAAGAAATCAAAGGACACATTGCATTGGAAAATCTGCTACAAAAGACCTGTTTAAAATGTCAGAAAGCAAGTACGTCACTCTGAGGACTAAGGAGCACCTAACCCAAGCCATTGGTATTTTCTATCACCTCATATGCATGTGAAAACTGGATAATGAAGACAGGAGAACAACTGATGCATTTGATTTATGGTGTTAGTGAAGAATATTGAAATGATCATCCAATGCCAGTAGAACAAACAAATCTGTCTTAGAAGTATAACTAAAATGCTCCTTAAAAGCAAGAATGAAAAGATTTTGTCAATGACAAGAAAGAAGGGACCAGTTAGTCCCTGGAGAAGGACATCATGATTGGTAAAGTAGAGGGTCAGTGAAACAGAGGAAGACCTTCCACAAGATGGCACAGAAGCTGCAACAATGGGCTCAAACAAAACTACTGTGAAGATGGCTTTGTATTATTGTACACGGTGTCCCTGAGTAAAAAATGACTTGATAGCATCTAATAATGCTATTCCACATGATATGGATATACCACCGCTTGTTCAACTATTTGGCTACTGAGAGACATTTTTATTGTTTTTATAGTTTTTGGCTGCTACAAAAAAAAAAATGTGGCCATGGACAACTGTATATAGGATTTGTATGTACAAAAGATTTATCAGGGACAAATGTTCAGGAGTACAATTGTGATATAAGTCAGAACTGACTCTATGGCTTTTAGCAATGATACATGTATGTTCAGTTTTTAAGAAATTACCTATTTTCCATCAGCAGTGAATGAGAGAACCATTTTGCTGCATCCTAGCCAGCATATAGTATTTCATTGGTTTTGATAACTGTATATCTCATACCGTTTTTATTTCTCATATCTTTTTAAGAAAACTTTTTGTTGTGAATTGAGTGAAGGTTTATAGAGCAGACAAGCAGTTTTACATTCAATAAAACACACTTTATTTCACTACATGGCTGCAATCTTCTCCATGTACCAACAATAACAGTATTTACCTCTATTCACTTTAACTATTGCATTCCTGTCTCCTACCACCTTCATCCTTTCTCTGCTAACCTTCCTCTTGTTGTATGTCGTCTGCCTTGTCACCTATATTAAACATGTGTCTACCCTATAGCACATGAAATGAATAATTTTCCTTTTCTCTGTCCCTGTAACTATCATAAATTGTTTCTTTTATCAAGAATACATTTTTTTTTTTTAACTTTTTACAACATTGGTCTCATACAATGATTATCCTTTTGTGACTAACTTTACTCAGCATAATGTCCTCCAGGTCCAGCTATATTGTGAAGTGCTTTACAGATTAATCATACTTTTTCAGCGTTTTGTAGTATTCCATTGTGTGTATGTACCAGTTTGTTTAATCATTCTGGTAACAGACATTCAGGCTGTCTCCATCTGTTTAATATGTCTCTTGTTGACAGCATATTGAAGGATCCTATTTTCTTATCCATTTTGCTGTTTGCATCTCTTTACTGACTCATTTAGTCCATTCATGTTCAGTGTAATTATCAAAAGATATGAATTGATTGTTGTCATGTTCTGTGTGTTTCTTCGCGGTGCTGCTGAATTCTTTGTTCCACGTAATTTTTTATGTTGAGTTCATTTTGTTTGTGGGTGTTCTTTTCATTTTTATTCCTGTTGTGTTTAAGTTTACTAAATCTTTAAAAAAAATTTTTTTGATGCGCAGGTATATTATTTTTCTTTGAGGTTACTCTGCAATTTATTTTTTTTCCCTTCTTAAAACAGCTTGTTTTATCTTGAAATCGACTTGATTTCCTTGCCATTTGGAGGTTTTGAGTCTACACTATTCCCTCTTTTTGTCTTGTAGTTTATACATTGATATGTCTGGTTCCCTATTTTCAATCTTGAAGGTTTTTTTTTTTTTTTTTTACTTTAAATACTTTCTATATCTGGAGTTCTGGGTGGTGTTGTTATGAACACTTGGTTCTCAGTCCAAAGAACACCCTTTGGCCTTTTTTTTTTTGAAAGTTAGTCTGGTCATTACAAATTCCTTTAGTTTCTGTTTATTAAGAAGTGTCTTAATTTTGCTGTTGTATTTGAGGTACAACTTTGCTGGGTATATGATTTTGGTTGGCAATCTTCCCCCCACCCCCCCAAGTTTTGTATATGTCATTCCATTGCCTTCTTGCCTGCATTGTTTCTGCTGAGAAATGAGTTTATTTAGTCTTTATTGGTTCACCTTTGCAGGTTAACTTTTTAGTTTTTCCCAAGCTGCTCTTAGGATTCTTCCCTTGTCTCTGATTTTCTAAAGTTTGATTATGGTATATCTTGGTACTTTTCTTTTGGGATCTATCCTGTTTGGGGCTCGTTCAGCTTCTTATATGCTTATCTACTAGTCTTTCATGATGTTAGGGAAGTTTTCTTCCAACAATGTTTCCACATTTTTCTCTGTGCTTGTCTCTTCCTGTTTGTGGAATTCTGATCACCTGTAAGTTGTTCCTCTTCATGGATTTTCTTTGGATTTTTTCATTTTTTTGTCTGATTGTTCTTCTAGCATAGTAGTACTAAGATAATTCTCTTCAAGCTCATAAATTTGAATGTCCAATACTTTGCATCTACTCCTTTGCCCTTTCAAAGTATTGTCCATTTCTGGATTTTTAGCTGCCTGTTTTGTATTATTTCAAAATTCATATTTATTTTGCTGTCCTTTTTTTAAAAGTTTTTATTGTGAATTGAGTGACACTTTACAGGGTGGATCGTCAGTTTTTACATTCAACAAATCATATACTTTGTTTCATTACAATGATTATAATCCCCACCATGTAACAACAGTTACAGTATTTCTCTCGATTCAGTTTAGCTTTTAAAAAAAAACCAACAAAACACTCAGGTATATATAGTAATTTACACCACTAAAGGGCACATTCTGCAAGTCTGCCTCCTCGCCGCCAGCTCTCAGTCCCTCTCTTCCCATGAATCTAGAGTCCTCAGCTGCTCCCTCTCTCCATGTCCCCATTTTTACATCCATCTCTGGTGTCGTTGCTTCTCTGGATGAGGTCCTGCATTCCACTTGTACTCTTCTCCCTTGAGGGTCCTAAGGTCCTCTGTTTCTGGACTGTTAAGATTAAATACTCCCCCCTTTTTGTTACAAAAC